CGGCGTTGAAGTCGTCAAGCTATGCCTAGGAGCAATTAAATGTTCTATCTCAGACATCAATGGGAGTTATAAACCTGCGCATGAAATTCATGAGAGATATGAGGACGGAATGACAATCTGGAGAACAGGCATTCAGCGTTTGTTTATGGAGACAATATAAACAAAAGATATAAGGTTATATAGGTTATGGGCTTTGGAAATTTTTACGAAATTTGTCTTGCCATGCCAACGCATAGAGAGAAGACGCTGGCTGCCTGCATCTCCTTCTAAATGCTTGACATTTTTTTAACTTCTTCTCTATTCCGAATTTCCTCAAATAGAGCACATATTTCTATTACGCTATGCTTGACCGTGTCGTTGAAAAATGCCAAGTATGAAACAAAAAAGAGAAATCACTACTTTTTAGAAGTCATCTTCAGAACTTCTATTAGCAGTACACTATAATTTAATTATATATTTATGTGATTTAAGCCTTCAACTGTGACTCAAACGTCTGCTCTGATCGTTGCAATTTATAGATATCAACATACGGCAACCTCACGAACCCAGTATACCTTACACAGAGTATTTAAATGCTTTAATATGCGCTACTATGAGAGCTACGTCACAGGCATGTACTTGGTGAGTTGAAAACAAAGCATCTACTCAAAAGTTCTTTTGTTCTTAAAGTACTTTCTCTTAACGCTAAGATCCGCTAAGTGTTTCGTCTGTAAGCATTTCTTTAGGCAACAAAAATTATGTATGTGGGAAACATCCTCACCAATCTCGTGCTCGTTAATAAATTCCTCGAAACGGACGACTACTCAATATACGGACTTGGAGTTTTGAGGGATCTTCTGTTTGGCAGGACATGGATGGAAAGCGGAAATTTCCCTCGGGTTACTTTGGTACGAGATAATGGATGTCTGTTTTTCTCAACAATTCTTATGGCGCCTTTCAGTGCGACTTCGAAGTCCGAGTGCTGGGAAACAACCAGCGACATTCCGTACAGTGTGTTTTGGTGATTAACATCTTCAACGAGAAGATATTTATACTTATCTGGCTGTGGTTTACACTGCTCTTCGTAGCCTCCACACTCGATATGCTATACTGGTTTAGCATATCAATGTTTCATAGGTCAGTATCTCGCAATCCAACAAAAACTGTTTCTTAAAGAAATCTTGTTAACAACATTCAAAAATTTCATGTAATAAGTCCACCGCTGTTGCTTTAAAATTTTCTAGAAGAGTGGA